TGCTCGCATATGGTTGTTGTTGTTACTTTACCTGACCAAGAGGAATGTCTTACAAATGCTAGTGTTTGTGTGTGTCAGTAAGAATGCATGAGTGTAATGGAATGTTAGTCCGCAAGGGGACATAACAATTTGGCGACGAAGATAAAAGACGAAGATGTCGCGATCGAAGCTTGAAATATTTGAAAAAGGTGATTTTCGGGAGTATGTAGAGAGACTCACGTTTTATTTTATCGCCAACAGTATTGGACAAGTCGCAGCTGGGGCAACCGCGGACCAGGAGAGAGCGGCAGACACGCAAAAGGCAGCTGTCCTGATCAGTCAACTCTCTGCTGAGAACTACTCGATTCTGAAGAGTCTTTGCCTGCCGGACAAACCAGCGCAGAAAACGTTTGAGGAACTCGGAGAATTGCTTTCAGAGCACTTCAAGCCTAATGTCAGTGTGTTGGCGGCGACTCATAGATTCCAGAGGATTTGTCAAAAGGATGGAGAGTCAGCAACACAGTATGCAGCTAGACTAAAGCAAGCAGCCATGGACTGTAAGTTTCAGGCGTATTTGGACAGGGCACTCCGAGACCAGTTTGTCAGTGGGTTGAAGTCGATGAGTGTTACGAAGGAGATATTGTCGAAAGCAAAGGAGACCTCAAGTTTGGCGAACATTGTGACGATGGCATCAGCCTATGAAACTGCATCGAGAGAGTCGGAACAATTGACGGCGCAGTCCGTCCACGCCGTTCGTTCGCGCCAGTCGACGAGCAAGCAGACTCCAACTTTCAAGTCGCACGACAAGAAATGTTTTCGGTGTGACAAGGCTGGTCACAAACCGGAAGAGTGCCGCTTCAAGAGTGTGAAGTGTCACGCGTGTGGTACGGTGGGTCACATCGAGAGAGCTTGCCGCAAGAAGAAGTCTGGACAAACCGTCCATCACATCGCGGAAGAAATTGGTGAGTTCGTTCCATGTGCTAGTAAACCCGATGTCACCATGTATAGTGTAAATGCAATGGGGCGACTACCGTACACTGTGTCATTAGATGTAATGGGTACCACTATCCAAATGGAGATTGATACGGGAAGTGCTGTCACGATTTTCAGCAGCGCAGATTTCTTGCAATGCAATGGTGTGCTGAGTAACCTGATGGAATCCAGTATCAACCTTGTGTCCTACTCTGGAGATGTGATTAATTGTCTCGGGGAAGCGGAAATGGAGTTCCGAATGGGCACACAATTGCACACACTATTGGTGAGGGTTACAAATGGAAACCGTCCATCTATTCTGGGCAGAGATGCAATGGCTTTGTTCAAACTCCCCTGGAAATCAATTTTCGAAGTGCACCAGGTCGAAAAGTCTGGCGCTAAATTCATTGAGAAATACCCAGGGTTGTTCGACACCTCAGAAGTGGGAAAGGTGAAAGGCGTGCAGGTGAAATTGCATGTGTCTGATGAGAGCCCTGTTTACCGAAAGGCAAGGCCGGTACCACTGTCAATTCGGGAGAGCTATGTTGAGGCTCTGAATAAATTGGAAGCAGATGGTATAATCGAGAAAGTCACGCATTCAGAATGGGCCTCCCCCACTGTCACGGTAGAGAAATCAGGAGGTGGGTTGAGAATCTGTGGTGACTACAGTGGCACTATCAATCTGCATTCTAAATGCGAGCAATACCCGCTACCCACTCTTGAGGAGCTATTGCACAAATTAGGCCCGGGGTCTAAATTCACGAAGCTGGATTTGTCGCAAGCCTACCACCAGCTAGAGATAGCACCTGAATGTCGGAAGTACACCACGATCAATACCATGCAGGGGTTGTATCAGTACAAACGACTCCCTTTTGGTTTTCACAGCGCCGTATCTATTTTCCAACGGGTAATGGAAGAAACCCTTAGCGATTTGCCAGGATGCGGGGGCTACATCGACGATGTGTTGTGTACTGGTCGTGATGAGGAGATCCATGAGAAAAATGTGGATCAAGTGCTATCTTGCCTAAATGAGAAAGGATTCAAGCTCAATCCTAAGAAGTTCAGCTACATGGCGGATAAGCTAACGTACCTCGGTCATCAGGTAACCGCGCAGGGAATCGCACCCTCGCCTGATCGAGTGAATGCCTTGAAAGTCGCAAAGCCGCCTAACAACGTGAATGAATTGTACTCTTTTCTGGGTGCGGCAAATTTTCAACGGAAATTTGTACCTCGGTTCGCAGAGATTGCTGCACCACTGTACAACCTGCTCAGGAAAGAAATGAAATGGCAATGGAGCAAGGCAGAGGAAGATGCATTCCAGGCCTTGAAAGATGCAATGTGTGAGCATACGCTATTAGCACACTACGATGTCAAGAAGCCAGTCACACTCCAGGTGGACGCTTCTCCAATGGGCCTAGGTGCCGTACTATTGCAAAGGCAAACGAATGGTGATGTTTTGCCGGTTGCTTACGTGTCAAGGAAATTGACACCGGCTGAATCGCGTTATGCACAAATCGAACGGGAAGCCGTAGCTGTGGTTTTCGGTGTTACGAAGTTCCAGAAATACTTGCTAGGGCGCCACTTCACGCTTCAAACCGACCATCAACCACTATTGAAGTTACTGGGAAACAACGAACCAGTTCCTACACTTGCATCAGCTCGCATCAAGAAATGGGCACTAATGCTAGCTGGCTATGATTATGAGATAAAGTATTTGCCAGGCAAGGAAAATGTCTACGCGGATTTCCTGTCTAGGCAACCATGTGAGAATATCAGTCCGTCTGCAGAGGAAATGGTTACGGTTCGTGTCTTGCTAGTGGAGGAAGATACGATAATCAAAGCAGACGTAGTGAAATCGGAAACAGCTCGTGACCCTGAGCTATCTAAGGTGCTCTACTATGTGGTGAATGGTTGGCCTAGCTCAGTACCCCAATCGTTTCGGTCTTACCACAATAAAAGGGATGAGCTGTCTGCGGAAGATGGTATCCTATTGTGGGGACAACGAGTTGTCATACCCAAATCACTAAGAATGGTATTGCTACGTGATTTGCACACGGAGCACTTTGGCATGGTCAAAACCAAGCAAATGGCACGACGGTACTTATGGTGGCCAAATGTGGATCAAGAGATTGAAATGTTGGTCAAGGCATGTGCTCAATGCCAAGAAAGTGCGAAATGTCCACCTGCCAAGTCGGGAACCTGGTCATGGCCAAACGGTCCTTGGAAACGGGTGCATATCGACTTTGCAGGACCATTCATGGGCAAGATGTTCCTGGTTGTGGTGGATGCATACACAAAGTATCTGGATGTAATTGCAATGTCTAATGCCACGTCTGCAACCACTATTGCGGCTCTGCGGCACGTGTTCTCTGTGTTTGGTCTGCCGGAGCATCTTGTTTCAGATAATGGAACCCAATTCACGAGCGAGGAATTCAAGGCTTTCCTCCGTGCCAACGACATTGTGCACACCCTGACGGCTCCAGGCCATCCGGCTACGAATGGACTTGCTGAGCGCTATGTGGGTGTGTTTAAGCAGAAGTTGAAGGAAATGGGTGCAACGAGCGAACCACTGCAAGCTCGGCTCGACAGGTTTCTGCTAACGTACCGCACGACACCCAACCATGCCGGCAGAACACCTGCGGAGATGATGTTTGGACGCCAGCCACGCACGCGGCTCAGTGCTCTGCGTCCCTCGCAGGTACGTCAACAAGCAAAGGCTTATGAGGACGGCAATCGCGTCAAGCCAGCGTTCACAGAGAGTGACTCTGTGTTTGCGCTCAATTTCGGCAAAGGTAATCGTTGGGTCCCGGGACGAATTGTGCGTGTCCTCAGTGACTACAACTATGAAGTACAAGTGGGTGATGTGTTGTGGAAGCGTCACCGAGATCAGTTGCGTCTACGGTCAGTTCCGGCAAGCTTGAGTGCATCGCTGCCAGAACCACTGTTGGATACAATCGATCAGACGTCACCGTCACCAGTGCTGTCAGACGTAGCAGAGTCGTCACTGGCCAGTGATTTTCCGGCTAGCGTCTCGCCACAGTCTGCTACTGTACAAGTTGAGGCGGATCCTCCTTGTGAGCAGTCTGCTCCTGAAGTTGGTTTACCACAGGTTGAGAATACTCCCTGTGAAACCACTGTTAGACGTTCGTCTCGGCGTAGTGTTCGTCCGGATAGACTGATTGAACAGCTTTGAGCCGTTCCCTGATATGTCATTGCTGGACTGTTTAGCGAACTAGTAATTATTACCATGTACAATAGTGTGCAAGATCCTTGGTATTGCTAATATTGACTGACGGATTCCTGCGTCAGATTATGTTATTGTAGTGCTGTGTCAAAGTTTAAGAATTCACGTACGGTGGATTGATGAACTTATTTTATGTGTTTCTTCAACGATTTTTGAGGTATTTAATTGTGGTAGAATATTCCCTGGAACATTCTTGAAAGGGGGCAGTTGTTGTGTATGCAAGTTAGTCATTATATATCTACTACACCGTTTGCTACTGACTGCGCATGCTCGCATATGGTTGTTGTTGTTACTTTACCTGACCAAGAGGAATGTCTTACAAATGCTAGTGTTTGTGTGTGTCAGTAAGAATGCATGAGTGTAATGGAATGTTAGTCCGCAAGGGGACATAACACACTTGGACCCAGGACGTGATTGGAGTGGAGGCAGGTTTGCAGGGACTTTTCCCACTTAGACCCAGGACCTGATTTGAGTGGAGGCAGGTTTGCAGGGACTTTCCCACTTGGACCCAGGACCTGATTTGAGTGAAGGCAGGTCTGTACGTTGTCTATTGCACATTCCCACATCACGGTGATTTCTGCCTCGGCCAGGTTAAAGCTTAGAGCACCTCGAGACGAGTTTGTTTCTTTGCCGGATTGAGATGTCTCTGCTGGGGAGACCCGAAGTCCCATTTCCATGTGACGTTTTTAGCTATGGAGAATGCTGGTGGTGGCACTGGTGCTGCTGTTGTTGTTGTTGTTGTTGTTGTTGTTGTTGTTGTTGTTGTTGTTGTTGTTGTTGTTGTCGTCGTCGTCGTTGTTGTCGGTGGTGGTGGTTGTAGTGATGGTTGTGGTGGTGGTGATGCTGCTGGTGCTGTTGTTGTCGGTGGTGGTGGTGGTTGTTGTGGTGGTGATGCTGCTGCCGCTGTTGCTGCTGTTGGTTGTGGTTACGAGCATAACAGGTTGTCATTGGTGGCCCTGCTATATTGTCGTTTACAAATATGTTACTATGTGTTAAGGCTGCTCTCTGTATCTGCGGTATGTGCATGGAACTCTCTTTCTTGACAGGGTGATACAGGCCAGCCGGTGGTGGGGGAGACGGCTTTTAATCACTTTGGGCATGTCCTAAAAGCTCCGCTACGCTGCGACTTTGAGGATACGTACACGTATTCTACAGCAGGTGAGCAATGTCTATGTGTGTGTGTGTGTGTGTGTGTGTGTGTGTGTGTGTGTGTGTGTGTATGTATGTGTGTGTGTGTGTGTGTGTGTGTGTGTGTGTGTGTGTACGTATACGCATTTGTGTGTTTGAGTGTGTATATATGTGTGTGTATATGTGTGTATGTTTGTATGTGTGTGTGGTCATGTGTTTGTGTGTGTGTGTGTTTGTGTGTGTGTGTGTGTGTGTGTTTGTGAATGCGTGCGTGCGTGCATGTGTGTGGTGTATCATTGAGTGCGTGCGTGTGTGCATCCATGTATACTGGAAATGAGGCCGACTGGGACAGTGAGTTTCAGAGGTGTTCATCAACTTTCATTACTTTTCTGACAAGCAAAACTGACTGGCTGACAACGTCTTGGCAAGACTAAAAACCGCCAGAACAGAACGGAAAACAATTAGGTTGTATCCAGGAAGATAAGCACGAGAGATTCAAATAAATTCAAATAACAGCAGCCACGTGGTGCATACGACGCATCACACGGAAAAGGCATGCATAGTCCAAGTGTGTGGCGGCGTGCAAGGCACAGCGAGTAGTAAACTTATTAGTATGTAACATGCGATATATGGAATGCGTCACGACGTCACAATCAGTGTGTCTCATCGGAAGACCTTCTGAACATCCTCCCCTACATTGATTAAACCAGCTTTAATCAAGTACACAATAAATTAAACGATAAAGAAATAGACCGAACAGAAAGCAGTGGAGAGAGATGAGGAGAGATAAGAGCAAAAATGTGCTGCTCACACACAGAGTCAATCCGCGGCAATCTTGCACAGCTGTACGATGGGGCGGACAAGTGACGTGTCACCGACCTTCACTCGCACCACTCTGACCCGCCCATCGACTCCGGGGAACAGCTGCTCTACCCGGCCGAGCCTCCATTGGCCTCGTGGTGCAGCAGCGTCGACGATCAGCACAACATCATCGATACCGAGATCGGGCTGCGGCTGGCGCCATTTTGCTCGCGGGTGAAGCAGGGGGAGCATTTCGGTCATCCAGCGCTTCCACACCTGCAACACCAGACTCTGGATGACCCGCCAGCGCTGTCGATGGCCTTGCTCCACGGTGTCCGTTCCTCTGGGAACAAATGGCTCGCCTTGGTGTCCATACAGGAAATGGTTGGGCGTCAGTGGCAGCAGATCTCTCGCGTCGGCCGACTGGTACGTCAGTGGCCTTGAATTCAGTAGTGCCTCTGCGCCAGTCACTGCGGTCATGAGTTCCTCGTCATTTACTTCCGCGCCCGACAGGATCGCATAGATGGCGCGCTTTGCTGACTTGACGAGCGCCTCATGGACGCCACCGAAGTGAGGAGCAGCGGGGGGATTGAAGGACCACCGAATTCCCTTGTCCGCTAATCGTCGGTCCACGCCTTCATTCATCGCGGCCACTAACCTCCGCAGTTCATTGGCAGCGCCTACGAAGTTGGTCCCATTGTCGGACACAACCTGTAGTGGAACACCGCGCCTGCTCGTCATCCGCATGAAGGCGTTCATGAATCCATCCACGTCCAGACTAACGGCCATCTCCAAGTGCACCGCGCGAGACTGCATACACGTAAATAAGCACAGGTACCTCTTCGCGCGCGGCTTTCCGCGACCTTGTTTGGTGGTGAAGGGTCCAGCGTAGTCCACTGCTACTCTGGAGAACGCTCTCATGGGCAGAGACACACGGACGGTCGGTAGCGGTGCCATGATCTGCATTCCTGGCTTCGCTGATTGTCGTTGGCAATGGGCACACTTCTTTTTCCACGCTTTGATCTCCTCTCGTCCAGCAAGCAGCCAATACGTCTGCGACAAGAGAGCCAACGTGTGACTTACTCCGCCAGCATGATGGCTCTGCTCATGGGCTTCCTTCACAATTAGCTGAGTGACCCAGTGCCCGCGTGGCAGGATGACAGGGCATCTGGCTGGCTGCTCGAGTATCTGCGCGTTTCGCAGTCGACTGTCAACGCATAGCAGTTGATCATCATTCAACATAGGTCGCAGCTTAACGAGTTTGCTCGAGGTGGGGATGGGCTTGCCTTCTTTCACAAGACGATATTCCTCTGCCAGCGCCTCTTCCTGCGCACCAGCAATGATACTGGTTTTGCTGCTCTCGAGCTCGTCTACGGATAGCGGACCGGTGTGTCGCAGCTCAGTTGGCACGCGGCAATTCTGCACGAAGCGCGTCACCCAAGCGCGCTGTCGGAGAAGACGATTGAGACTCGAGAATCGTGTCGGGTCGAGTAACCAGGGTAGCTCGGCGTCAGGAGCTGTAACTGCTACCAAGGCAACCGGTGCTTGGACAGACTTTGCGTTGTTCTTCTGCTCCAGGTGAGTAGTAGATCTTGGCTCACTGAGACGCATTGTCGGCCACTCATCCTCGCCTTTGCGGAGGAAGTCGGGACCCAACCACCAGAGCGCATCATCGATGAGAGCACCAGCTGACGAACCACGGGACAAAACATCTGCTGGATTCTCCTTCGTCGGCACATGGCGCCATTGACTGGGAATAGTGTGTTGCTGAATCTCACCTACGCGCATTGCAACGAATGGCTTGAAGTTCCGCGCACGGTTCCGAACCCAGTACAGAACGTTGAGGCTGTCTGTCCAGATGACAGTGTCGTGGACCGGTAGACTGAGGATGTCGGATGCCCAAACTGCTAGTTCCATGCCAATTACAGCAGCTGACAACTCTAGCCTGGGAATTGAAACAGTTACGGTGGGAGCGACACGGGATCTACTTGCGATGATAGCGGTCGACACATGGCCGTCTTCATACGTGCAGCGCAGATAGCTCACCGCGCCGTAGGCGCCTTCAGACGCGTCAGCGAACACGTGGATCTGCTTACTGACGGGGTTGCCTGCATTCACTTCTTGCAGACAGCGCTGGATGCTGAGACGGGAGAGCGCTGCTAGATCAGTATACCATCCGGTTACGCGTTGATTGAGCTCATCAGGGAGCGGGTCATCCCAGTCCATACCTTGTAGCCACATGTCCTGCACCAACATGCGTGACTTCATGATGAACGGGGAGACGAACCCCAGCGGGTCGAAGACACTAGCTGTCGCACTCAAGAATGAGCGCTTGGTGATGCGCTGCTGGCCTGGTGCTGTTGGCTTGAACGCAAAGGTGTCGGTCGTGGCCGACCACAGCAGTCCAAGTGTCTTGACGCTTGGCAGCTGCGGGGAGTCGAGGTCGATCTGGCTTGCTCGATCCTCCTTGGGCACTTTCTCCATGACTACTTTGGAGTTCGAGAGCCATTTTCGGGCGTGCATGTCAGCTCCCTGCCAGCATTCCGACAACTGCTCGTACAGCATTACGCCTTCGACGTCATCCATAGCAGAATCCATGGAGTCGTCCATATACGTTGAAGCCAGCATAGTTTCGGCTGCCAACGGGTACTGCTGCTGATGGGCTCTAGCGTGCTCATGGGATACAAACTGCGCCAAGAATGGCGACGCGTTAGCTCCGAAAACCAGTCGTTGAAATTCATATACTCGCGGAGCCGCCGTGTCATCCAGGTCACGCCATAGAAATCGGTGATACTGCCGGTCCTCAGGACGCAGTCCGATGCGCAGATACATTTCTGCGATGTCACAAACGATGGCTACTGGCTTCTGGCGAAAACGGGTCAGAACGCTAGGAAGTTGCCGCTGTAGCTTCGGCCCTGGAAGCATTGTGTCGTTGAGAGATGTGCCCTCATACTTCGCCGATGCGTCAAATACGATCCGGGTCTTTGTTGTCGCTTTGTCTGGTCGAAGTATGGCAAAGTGGGGCAGGAACCACTGCTGACCAGGCTTCAACTCGTCCTTGGCAACCTCACGGACGTAGCCTTTGTCGACATAACTCTTGATGATGCTGCTGTAGGCTGCTGCTGCATCCGAGTCGCGCGCCAGTCGCATCTCCGTACTACGTAAACGCTTCATGGCCTGGGGAAAGTTGTCAGGAAGCGTAGGTGGTCCATCGCACCATGGAATGCCAACCTCGTAGCGTCCGTCTACGAGCTGCAGCGACTGTTTCGTAGCGTGCACTACCTCCTTCTCCTGCGCCGACAGGATGGCTTGCTGTGGCTCAGCCCGGTTGTATTGTTCTAGCTGCCACAGCTGTGCGAGACTGTCCCCGACGTCCTGTGGCACTGCCTCAGCCAACAGGGTGACGGGATTCGTTGCTTTGCTGCGATTGACGCGTCCGACACAGGTCCAGCCGAGAGGTGTAAGTCGGGCTATCGGCTCGCCGGGGCCACCCTGGATCTCCTGCAGCGACCTATGCAGCTCGGCGCAGTCCAGGCCGACCAGAACGTCAATTTGACGGCGCTTCTCCAGTGCTGGGAAGGGAACGTTGAGCAGGTGAGCCCACTGCTGCTTCTTATGCTGCCAGTTGACCGTGCCGCTGGTTCCGATCACTGAGTCGGCAGTGTAGGCGTGCATTGTCATGCACATGCGGCGGTCTATACTGGAAAGGTTCAAGGAAACTGAGGTCGTGCGGAAGACCTCTGTGCGGCCGCTGAGCACTTTTACCGTCAGATCCTCTTGCTCTCCAGCAAGACCGAGCTCACTCGCAACATGCGAGCTGACGTATGAGTTCGTACTTGCGTCGTCTAGCAACGCATTTACTCTCAGCTCCGCCCCGTTGTGCTTCAGCAGGACTGGCACTGTCCGCATGGCCACGGCTGGGGTAGCAGTGCTTGCGGTAGAGAGCGTTGTGCGCGACTCGTCCTCCTCGGAGGCTGAGGCTGCTGACTGTTGTTGCTGACTGTCGTTCGAAGATCGAGCAGGCGGACTGGCTTGCTTGGTCGGACCATGTAGGAGTCGGTGGTGTACCTTGGTGCAGCCGCCGATCCCGCACTCGCGACCCCATGAGCAATCCTGTCCACTGTGCCCTGTGTCGAGGCAACGATAGCAGAGGCCCTTTTCCTTCGCCAGCTTCCAGCGCTTATTGGGGCTTAGCGCTTTGAAGGCAACGCATTGCCAAGCTCTATGCT